ACTTCTAAATGGGATGACACATTTGACTTTTAGAAAATAATGTAACCTTGGACTCTAGGACCCCCAAGCATCAAACTACCAAACATACTACACACACACATACCATAACACAATATGGTCAAAATCAAGTTAAAATGAGCATCAGGAGCTTAATTTACGACATGTAAAAAGAAGGCACCAAAAAAGAGCAAACAGGTCGCTGATTCCCATCTACGTTAAGACTCAGATAACGGAAGGAAAAGGCAGTGGAGGATACAATTAGGAGAATGGTGGTAAAATGTGGGCTCGGTGTTTAATAATCGGTGTGTAAGTCTCAGGTCTTTAGAACCAATCAGCAGAGTACCCTGTTTCTCCCATTGTCTGCTGTTTTTTAAGTCCTGGCGCCAGCAATGAAGACTGACAACCAGGTCCACGGCTATCACCCACGATGTACCAGGTCCTAAAGACACTTTTATCTGGAAATGACAGATTGTTTTTTCCTAAGAGGTGCCTTTAGTCACATTTATATAAATTAGTATGCTTCAAATAAAGAAATGTTTTCAATGAAATCTCTCAGAAACCAATGCAAACCTAACTGCTGTAAAGCCAAGTGTAATGCAGCCATACCCTGCATTCTGCATATCATCTGATTCTACCCTGTGCCTTGTGCCTAGAGACTTTCAAATGAAGAAAATCAGGGGAAATCCACATTGAGTATTGAAGCCAAGAAAACCTCCCTGCTAGACTAATAGATCACAGGGAAAACATGACAAAGGAAAGGAGAAAACGGAATCTGCTAACAGACTGGGGCGCTCTTTGGCAGAGCCACCAAAACCCAACTCCACGGTCAGCTGTCCTCTGAGTGACTGGGCTCTTATGGTCATACACAGATGAGTAGTCTATACAGCGGTTATAAAATATTGTCTCCCAGAGTAGCATACTCATGACATTTGTAGAGCATTCCTTACTGTGTTCCATGTTAACAGAAGTCTAATACGTATTACCACTTTACACACAGCATTAGCCAAAAGTTTTCCCAGAATGCATAAACAGAAGGCATTTTAGGATACTACTGATTCCAAATCAAGCAACAACAAAAGAGTAAGTGTGAGAACTCATTTTGATCATTCTCACACAAGCCAAATGAAGTAGAAAACTGAAAATTTTTAAACCACTTATTTTTATTTGGCCTTTAGAAAATAATGGGGTATACGCTCATGTATAATATACATTATTTTCTTGTCGAAACACACACGTATAAAATTAAGGTGTATTTGAAAGTTTGAGCAAAGGGCTTAGAGCTTATGATATGTATGTATATATGTGTGTATTTCATATTTTACAAAGTAAACATCTCTGCTGTTTTCCTCTAGCCCAAGATCTAATCTGATTATTAAATCTCTAGTATGCGCTGTATTGTTCTCAAGCACTCTTTGTTCCTCAAAGAAAAAAAGAAAAAGGAAAAATTCAGGCAATTGCCTGCCAAAATATATCATTCTTAAAATATCCAAATAACCGATACAAAAGTTTTCTTTTCCTAAAATACCTAGATAATTATCACTTTATCTCATGAGCCACAATATAAATGTGTAAGGGTATATTTAGTCATATAATAAGAACATACATACTCAGAATTCCTTTTGAGAAACTCCTTCTGAATTTTCTAGCCATCTGCACCAAGTAAAAGCCACAAGCCAAAAAAAGTTTCTTTCTGTAAACCTCTATCTTTACCCATAGCCTTGTAGTGAATAACTAACATGTGCAAATTAATTAACAACAAATGCCAAAGAAAAATGGGAAAAGTCTTGGACTCTTTGTTTTAAAAATCAGTAATAATATACATTATTTTCTCCTTAGAAACAATGCGCAGATAGTGAAGGCATGAGTAACATGTCTGAGCAAATTGTTGGAGGGGTCGACAGCATTCAGAGGCACAAAGAGTCAGGCAGGCCTCCGTTCGAACTCAACTCCACACTTCACGACCTATCGCATGTTGGGCAAAGTCACTTATCTGAGTCTTGATTTCGCCTGTTAATCTGGATTAATTATGGTAACTTGTTGAGGTGATTAAATGAGGTAATGCATGCAAATAGCTGAGCACCATGCCTGGAACATTGTTTGTGCTCAACAAACAGCAGCTGTTACCATTATTCACAGTTCACTGTAGGTAGTCATTGGAAGAGTGGGAAAGCTATTAGTGTTCATACACCATTAGGCTAAGTGGATATTGCTCCAGAATCATTATACATCGTGTGGGTTGAATTTTAGATGAATTCACTGGAGAAACATGCTTACTTGCAGGTATTCACAGTTTAATAGCAAATGCAACCAACTATGAAAAAGATTATATGGAATTATCTGTCACTTCCCACATCCTTACAAACATGCATACAACTCTGCTTGGTGTTGGGGTGTTGTGAAAAGATGAATATATGCTGATTTCAAAAAAACCAATAAAGAAAATGATTGCCAATTCAACGTATGAAATGTCAATAGTGAAATATTGTTAGCATGTTTCTAACAGCCTTCGCATTTGCTTGGGATTTTTTTGTTTGTTAATACAAAAGCTTATCCAAATTACATATATTTCAGTACCTCAACCCATGCCCTATTTTCTACAAGGCCAACTCATCCTACTGGACTCGGGTTTAGCCACACTTTCTCTGGAAAGCTTCCCGTGGTCACCCACCCACAGGCTCTCTCTGCCTTGCCTCTGTCCTGGGCCCCACACTCAGTTCTTCATTCCTATTCATGCTTCTTTCATAAAGTCTCTTGCGTTGTCCTCTCTTTTTCCTTTGCATGGCCATTTTCCAAAGCTGTACCACATTACCAGCTGAACTTTATTCAGCCGTTTCTTAAGCGTGTCTCCTAGTTACAGGTCTTTCCTGCAGAAAACGGCCAAATAAATCTAAGAACAGGCTTTTGTCAGGTACCTCGCCCCCTTTCAGAATGCTGGGATGGTTGTAATGGCCAAAAACCTGCCAGTGCAAGGGGATGTTATGAATGCGCTTAACCCAGGACTGTGCAGGCAAACCAGGACTTACAGCTAACCAGCCCATCGCCACCTTTGATCTCAGACTTTCTCACAGAAACGGTCCTAAGGGCTGACTCAAAACTAAACTCTCCGCTTTTTAAGTTTTCATGTTTCAAATTCATGACATTCTGACTTTCTTGAATGAAATACATCCATGTTTGTTTTCATATAAATATATTGTAAGTCACAATGCTTTTACGTGAGCAAAATTTCCAAACATCTTACCCAAAATCTTGGAGCAGAATTGACCCACAAGAAGACATACTTTCAGGATGCAACTCCGAAAAACCCCGCTGTAGTATGGTCTGTGTCAGGGCTGTCCCCTGGAGCACAGACAATGTCATTTATAAAGACCAGGAAGTGAACAACGGCCCTGGAGTTACCGACCCTTAGGGGAACCCAGCGCCCTGACCACAGAAGTCTTCCGTGTGGTCTCTTTGGAACCCCATTCCCATGTCAACAGTAAATAAACCTGTCTCTTCCTTGCTTTCCTCAACACCACTCAGTCTTTACGATCCAAGTCCATTTGCTCTGGTTGCCATATAAAGTATAAGACGCCTAGTTAAATTTGAATTTGAGGAAAACAAAGAATGTTTTTCCTATATCCCATGAAATATTTGGGTTAAAACTTAACCAGGTGTCCTGTACTTTTATGCACTAAACCTGGCACCAGGACTAACGCCGTGCCTGACCACCCCCGCATCCTTATCTAACCAGGCATGTCCAGCCCTCTGGACACACTGACCCTCATCCTGAAAGTGGAGCTAGAAGAAGGCCTGTTGGCAACCTTGATTCGCTGCATTTTATCCAGAGGCCCAGCTTTGTCACTGGCCACATACGAGTATGACTTTGGCCGCTGTTGGCCAATTTCGGTTACAAAATTGGTGGACATTTGACTAAATGGATCTCTTAGGACCTTCCCAATCTAACATTCTGTAACTGTAAAGCATCTGGGTATTGAATCTGTTTCTCACCAGCCAAACAAAAGATGCACCTATTGATAACGCCCAAACTAACCTTCTGAGAGTTTCCATCTTCCCAAGGTACTCACTTTCCCTTGGGCTACGGTAATGATGAGAAGACTCTACCAATAAACGAGTGTTACCCGTGAGGGCCAATGTTATTCCATCACCATGTTTTTATACTTTATCATCGTTTTTCTTCCATCTTTCTTTATTTATAAATCTCACTAATTAAAGAATCCACAAAGGTGAGAGGCTCTCATCTCCTTATCTCCATTTGGTTATCACTTGTCCTGGTGACAACCAACAGTAGTCAAATGGCCTCCGAGGTCACCTGGGCAGGATGCCTCTCAAAGGAAACAGGGGAAAGTGAAATGAGGGGGGATAGAGGGGAGGCAGTCCCCATCCGGGCTCCTGCAGCTCCTCGGCAAGCGGGGACGTGGGGTACGCAGCCAGGACAGTTACCAGATCTCAGATCGAGGGTTTTGGTGTGTGTGGAAAGGAGGAGCTAGAAGAAAGTGAACTTGGGAAAGCAGCAACCTTAGTCCCTGGAGGAGCCCTGCTTCATAACTATCCCGATGAGTTCCCTGCCTATCCCCAAATGAATATGTGGCCATTCAGGCTGAACCAGCAAAGGACACCTCCTGAATCTCACTGATACCCAACACGCCTGCTGGGCTTGCACTAGAATGGACCTGTCTCTGCTCATTTCAGCTTCTGCTTCCTCGAGCTCCCCCCTTGTCCTGCCGGATCTCAATCCCTTCTACCTTCCTTTCTGCCTCTAACTCCGTTTCTCCCACTTCTTACCTTACCTGCTAGAATGTGTGATTTATGTCCTCTGTAATAAGGAACATGCGCTTGGGGAGCTTTGTTTCCACCCTCCACCCATTTATATTTTGAGAAAGGGCAGAGTGGTGTCCCTGGCTATACTCATTTCACAGGAGGCCATGATTCCCGTTCTAATTAAAAGGAGCACTACGAGGAAATTCGGAAAACAAAAGACTAACCTTGAGCTTCTGTTCCAGCCTACAAGGAGAAAATGAAGGAGCTGTCCATGCTGTCCCTGATCTGCTCCTGCTTCTACCCAGAACCTCGCACCATCAACACCTACACTTACGACGGTGAGTCTGACAACAGGATGCCCCTGCCTGCTAGGTCATCTGGAAAAGCGTGGGTCCGTTAGCTTCTCTCTTCCTGCTGCTGATATAATTAAATCCATATTTGGCAGATCTCACTATTGACTGGCTGTGTGTACCCATTAGGTGGTATTGATAGCCTACTGCTCGAAGCAGTTTGAGTTTAGTGCTAATAACAGCACATTAATGTTTCTCAAGACACGCGGTTGAATTGTTAGTGCAGCCACGTCTAACATGTCAACATCCACAATAGGTCCAAATCTTCTTTTTACAATATAATACGCTAAGCTCTAATCAGAGCAGATCATAATTTGCAAGAAAATGCTTTATACTGAGAAAACTCAGGAGAGAAAATGGACAGCATCACAGTTTTTGCTGTAGCATAGTCTTTATTAAGTTCCCATATTTGGTCATGCATGTCAACAACCTAACAAGTTCCAATAATAAAACTGACTTACGACTGAGGCCCCAGATCAAGAGGATTTCAAAAGAAAAGCCTAGAGAACTGGCCTGGCTATAAACTTTTTTGCATTGTAACCCTTTCGGTTTGATTTCTCTTGACTCATTCTTAGTATTTCCTTCCCGGCTCTGCCACTTATCCACATGACCCCTGGCAAGTCACTTAGATTCTCTGAGCTGTATTTAACTCTAGTATTTTCCTCCCAGGGGTATTGTGGGGCATAAGTGGTTTAATGCAAATCTTTGAACACTTCCTTGTAAGCACCCCAAAATGGCAGCTATCATTATCAACAATTCCATCCTCACTTAATTCAGTCACTACAATCAAAATGTTTGATACAGTAATGTGTGTAGTAGTTTACAGCTGAAGCATATTTTTGTAGCTTTTTGGCTCATAATTACCTTTCTTGTCCACATTGTAAAGAAATGCATTAAAGATAAGGTGAGGGGATGTGGCAGTTAACCCTTTCTGTGCCGTTAAAGCCTATGCCAGGACTGAAAGGCATTTTCTTGCCAAAATGCTTCTCTCATGGCACAAGCATCATAGATACCAGTTTACCGTTTTAAAAGAAAATGTACTTCGTGCAAAGGGTTATGGTTTCCAACAACAATTCTCTTTAGAATGCAGGCCCAGTGCCTACTTTGTACAAATTCATTTAGCCAACAAATTAGACAGGTCCTTAATCTACTAGATGCAGCTCTGCATAAATCCAGCTGTTTGAAATTCTAAAATGTCACTATGTGTTGTCACCAAGGCTCCAAAGGTGGACACAGCACAGACCCCCTTCAAGGAACTCAAGGTCTAGAAGAGCACCCCACCATGCAAGTCAGTAAGGAGATCACTGCGTGGTTACCTGCCGAGACAGAGGGTACACAGGTGCCCCGGAGGGACAGGGGACAGAGTGCCAGTTTCTGCCCGCTGAGGGATTGATGGGGGAAGGAGAAAGTCAGGAGTTATGTATAAGCTCAGTATTAGAAGCTGAACAGACAATTCAGCAGTGCTTATGCACTGCTCCGAGGGTCTGATGATCTGCTTATCTTTCTCACATAAGCTGCTGGTGAAAAACACGGCTAACCATGTCCCGGTTCTTAACCATTTCTTACGTGGACACAGCGTACAGCTTAGATAAGCAGATGCCACCCTCCCCCTGGGATCTTGTCTTGTTGTCCCCATTAGACTGTAAGCACCCCCAAGGCAGGGACCCCATCACAGTGTCATCCACAGGGGACACTACACACGCTTGACAACTCGTGTCAACAAACATACTGAAGGGCAAACCGCGAACCACAAGGATGCTTTGCACATGCGCACTGCCAGGGCCGAGTCTTTCCACCCGCTCAGGGAGCTATGTCTGTTCTAACGGCTCCTGCGAGTTCCAACCACAGGATTATATATGAGAACTGGACAACTTTGCTACTTTCCTCATCATTTGGCCTCACAATGCCTCCACCCA